GTCAACTAAGGTCTCGTAGAGATCACCTTGGTGTTCTTTGAGGTGACGTTCGGCCATCAGCTTACTAACCTCCATCTCTTGGCACTGAAAAAGAAATGTTGTAAATTCAATGATTACAGGATATGTGTGGGTTCATAGTCCATGCAAATACACAGCTTATCATTTTGGGAACTGAATTGTTTCCACAAAGACTAAATTAATTGTGATCGAATACCTACAATGTACTCTTTCCAACTGATTTATTTATCCCAACAGTAAACTAAAATATGCGCTATTCGAAAAAGTCCATAACTATTGTTTTACACATACGTAAATAGTCTAGCAATAAATACATGAATCACTATATTACATCATATCCAAGCTCTTCGAGGCATACGTACGGTGTGAGATATAGTGATTTCATACTGAGTAATCAGTTAGTTTATCATCAAGTGTGCTAGTACCACTTTAGTATTTTAATTTCTGTATCAACACATCGAAACAATATACATCTAACATGTCGAAACTTCAAGTGAGTAGTTTGAGAAGACGACGTGAGTGGATGCAAGGCCTTCTTTGTTTGAAACTCGAATCCTTTCAAGCTTAGTCGACAACAGAATTATTTCATCTCATAACCTGGCTAACAAAACCCTTGACATCAACAACTTGCTTTAACCGTAATCATCATGTGAAAACAAAACACAACCAGGATCCTTGTGGAATGGTATTTGAGAGCTTTCTGATATTCATCGTTCAGTGAATAATCCGGAACTAACGTAATGACCATCACATTGACTAGGAGAGTAGACCGGCTCTATGTCAACGTACATACCGATTTCAATAAACATATGAATTCCATTACAGTGACTATCACTCTTCCTAGATTTCATTAGTTATCCTCTTCTTGGTTATTGATCCAAAGACAAATGCCCCTATCTCGGATGTTTACACTGAATCACGTGTTCAGTTCGACTGACTGAGAATAATTCTCTTTGACAAAACGTTAACTCATACAGTATTACATGATGATGACGCTTTGATCACAATCTATTGCTCATTTACAACGGAGAACTTTGAACAAAAGTTAAGCACTTCGAGTCCCCACACACAACACACAGAATACAAACGTAAAGAAAATAATTCAGAGAAACGATAATTAATGGAAGTGCACCGGAGAAAGAATAAGAACGTATGGAATAATGTGAATTTGATGTATCTAAGAGTTCATAAAAAGTCAATGGAGCTCCACCATCGACAACAATTTTCAACCATGTCACAAACAATCTCGACGATTCCATCCAGACAGTCTACACCTCCCTACACGGCTCAAACCAACAGTCATAGTCTTCACCGATTGCTAACATCGTTTGGTCCGACCACCGCTTACTCTTTCTCAACCTAATCCTATATCAGCTGACATTACTCGACGACGTAGGTGATGACTCGGAATGCATCAAACACACACACACACACACACATCGGCCATAGTCATCTCAATTGATGCAGCTTCGTAACATCATTCACAAGTTGGGTGGAAGAAGACGTCAAGGAGATAAAACCACTTCGTCAAGAGACTGTATGTAAGCCACAAAACCATCAGCTGATGCAAATCAACCAAAATGACTCATACTCCTACAACACTACCTAAGCCCTTTGAAATATGTTCACCCAATGAAAATACCTCACCTAATGACAGCAAACACTGCTAGTTTTGTACAGAAAGACTTCATTTTATGTGTACAATATGTGCATTAAATACAATCAACGTTTTCCAGTCGTTTTCTTTTTATCTTTATCTGCACAGGTCAACTAAGGTCTCGTAGAGATCACCTTGGTGTTCTTTGAGGTGACGTTCGGCCATCAGCTTACTAACCTCCATCTCTTGGCACTGAAAAAGAAATGTTGTAAATTCAATGATTACAGGATATGTGTGGGTTCATAGTCCATGCAAATACACAGCTTATCATTTTGGGAACTGAATTGTTTCCACAAAGACTAAATTAATTGTGATCGAATACCTACAATGTACTCTTTCCAACTGATTTATTTATCCCAACAGTAAACTAAAATATGCGCTATTCGAAAAAGTCCATAACTATTGTTTTACACATACGTAAATAGTCTAGCAATAAATACATGAATCACTATATTACATCATATCCAAGCTCTTCGAGGCATACGTACGGTGTGAGATATAGTGATTTCATACTGAGTAATCAGTTAGTTTATCATCAAGTGTGCTAGTACCACTTTAGTATTTTAATTTCTGTATCAACACATCGAAACAATATACATCTAACATGTCGAAACTTCAAGTGAGTAGTTTGAGAAGACGACGTGAGTGGATGCAAGGCCTTCTTTGTTTGAAACTCGAATCCTTTCAAGCTTAGTCGACAACAGAATTATTTCATCTCATAACCTGGCTAACAAAACCCTTGACATCAACAACTTGCTTTAACCGTAATCATCATGTGAAAACAAAACACAACCAGGATCCTTGTGGAATGGTATTTGAGAGCTTTCTGATATTCATCGTTCAGTGAATAATCCGGAACTAACGTAATGACCATCACATTGACTAGGAGAGTAGACCGGCTCTATGTCAACGTACATCCCGATTTCAATAAACATATGAATTCCATTACAGTGACTATCACTCTTCCTAGATTTCATTAGTTATCCTCTTCTTGGTTATTGATCCAAAGACAAATGCCCCTATCTCGGATGTTTACACTGAATCACGTGTTCAGTTCGACTGACTGAGAATAATTCTCTTTGACAAAACGTTAACTCATACAGTATTACATGATGATGACGCTTTGATCACAATCTATTGCTCATTTGCAACGGAGAACTTTGAACAAAAGTTAAGCACTTCGAGTCCCCACACACAACACACAGAATACAAACGTAAAGAAAATAATTCAGAGAAACGATAATTAATGGAAGTGCACCGGAGAAAGAATAAGAACGTATGGAATAATGTGAATTTGATGTATCTAAGAGTTCATAAAAAGTCAATGGAGCTCCACCATCGACAACAATTTTCAACCATGTCACAAACAATCTCGACGATTCCATCCAGACAGTCTACACCTCCCTACACGGCTCAAACCAACAGTCATAGTCTTCACCGATTGCTAACATCGTTTGGTCCGACCACCGCTTACTCTTTCTCAACCTAATCCTATATCAGCTGACATTACTCGACGACGTAGGTGATGACTCGGAATGCATCAAACACACACACACACACACATCGGCCATAGTCATCTCAATTGATGCAGCTTCGTAACATCATTCACAAGTTGGGTGGAAGAAGACGTCAAGGAGATAAAACCACTTCGTCAAGAGACTGTATGTAAGCCACAAAACCATCAGCTGATGCAAATCAACCAAAATGACTCATACTCCTACAACACTACCTAAGCCCTTTGAAATATGTTCACCCAATGAAAATACCTCACCTAATGACAGCAAACACTGCTAGTTTTGTACAGAAAGACTTCATTTTATGTGTACAATATGTGCATTAAATACAATCAACGTTTTCCAGTCGTTTTCTTTTTATCTTTATCTGCACAGGTCAACTAAGGTCTCGTAGAGATCACCTTGGTGTTCTTTGAGGTGACGTTCGGCCATCAGCTTACTAACCTCCATCTCTTGGCACTGAAAAAGAAATGTTGTAAATTCAATGATTACAGGATATGTGTGGGTTCATAGTCCATGCAAATACACAGCTTATCATTTTGGGAACTGAATTGTTTCCACAAAGACTAAATTAATTGTGATCGAATACCTACAATGTACTCTTTCCAACTGATTTATTTATCCCAACAGTAAACTAAAATATGCGCTATTCGAAAAAGTCCATAACTATTGTTTTACACATACGTAAATAGTCTAGCAATAAATACATGAATCACTATATTACATCATATCCAAGCTCTTCGAGGCATACGTACGGTGTGAGATATAGTGATTTCATACTGAGTAATCAGTTAGTTTATCATCAAGTGTGCTAGTACCACTTTAGTATTTTAATTTCTGTATCAACACATCGAAACAATATACATCTAACATGTCGAAACTTCAAGTGAGTAGTTTGAGAAGACGACGTGAGTGGATGCAAGGCCTTCTTTGTTTGAAACTCGAATCCTTTCAAGCTTAGTCGACAACAGAATTATTTCATCTCATAACCTGGCTAACAAAACCCTTGACATCAACAACTTGCTTTAACCGTAATCATCATGTGAAAACAAAACACAACCAGGATCCTTGTGGAATGGTATTTGAGAGCTTTCTGATATTCATCGTTCAGTGAATAATCCGGAACTAACGTAATGACCATCACATTGACTAGGAGAGTAGACCGGCTCTATGTCAACGTACATACCGATTTCAATAAACATATGAATTCCATTACAGTGACTATCACTCTTCCTAGATTTCATTAGTTATCCTCTTCTTGGTTATTGATCCAAAGACAAATGCCCCTATCTCGGATGTTTACACTGAATCACGTGTTCAGTTCGACTGACTGAGAATAATTCTCTTTGACAAAACGTTAACTCATACAGTATTACATGATGATGACGCTTTGATCACAATCTATTGCTCATTTGCAACGGAGAACTTTGAACAAAAGTTAAGCACTTCGAGTCCCCACACACAACACACAGAATACAAACGTAAAGAAAATAATTCAGAGAAACGATAATTAATGGAAGTGCACCGGAGAAAGAATAAGAACGTATGGAATAATGTGAATTTGATGTATCTAAGAGTTCATAAAAAGTCAATGGAGCTCCACCATCGACAACAATTTTCAACCATGTCACAAACAATCTCGACGATTCCATCCAGACAGTCTACACCTCCCTACACGGCTCAAACCAACAGTCATAGTCTTCACCGATTGCTAACATCGTTTGGTCCGACCACCGCTTACTCTTTCTCAACCTAATCCTATATCAGCTGACATTACTCGACGACGTAGGTGATGACTCGGAATGCATCAAACACACACACACACACACACACATCGGCCATAGTCATCTCAATTGATGCAGCTTCGTAACATCATTCACAAGTTGGGTGGAAGAAGACGTCAAGGAGATAAAACCACTTCGTCAAGAGACTGTATGTAAGCCACAAAACCATCAGCTGATGCAAATCAACCAAAATGACTCATACTCCTACAACACTACCTAAGCCCTTTGAAATATGTTCACCCAATGAAAATACCTCACCTAATGACAGCAAACACTGCTAGTTTTGTACAGAAAGACTTCATTTTATGTGTACAATATGTGCATTAAATACAATCAACGTTTTCCAGTCGTTTTCTTTTTATCTTTATCTGCACAGGTCAACTAAGGTCTCGTAGAGATCACCTTGGTGTTCTTTGAGGTGACGTTCGGCCATCAGCTTACTAACCTCCATCTCTTGGCACTGAAAAAGAAATGTTGGAAATTCATTCTGTGTATCAAGGATCGGTAAAGGTAATAATAAAGTTTTGCGGACAGATCACACAGCCGGAAAATTATTTGGTGAACATGGGTAGTTTATGAAGATGGGGGCAAATTTCCGTTTACAACGGACTAAGGTGGACTGATTTTGCTAGTGACATTGGTAAAATGGCTAACAGTGGGTAGTAAAGATTTTGGAAGAAATGGGAAATTGGGTATTTTATTTTGCATTTTATCAACTTTTTCTTCACTTAACCCAAGTGCATTTTCCGACTGGTGAGGAACGTTGTTAATAATGAACGTTAACCAAGATTCAGTGGAAAGACGACATTCAACAGATGCTTCGAACTAAACCCTCACAAATAAATCTTAACTTCAACTATACATCATTTGCGAATGATGTATGAACGTCAAGATATTCTTGCAAAATTTCACGTCTACTAATTCTGATATGGGATACGACTTTCACATTACTGAGGAAAAATATTTAGGATATTATTTGATAGTACACATAAAAAGAAACTCACGATCAAGGCTATGTCTTCATTTCTGACCTTAACCTTAAGCATTTGTTTCTGTTTTTGAGCTTTGTCAGCGGCCACGGCATCACCAGCAGTATCTGATACAGCTTTAACTGCGTCTAGTCCAACACTGAGCTCTTTTTCTTCGAAATAATCAGTAACACGTTCCAGGTCAGCTGCACCTCGCTCATCATGTGTTGTCGGTTTCCTTGGTTTTTCGTTGTCCTCTCCGTCATCCATTCTGTAATAAGGAATACAAACAATTGGGGATCAAAAACATTACAGCACACTGTGGATGAAAAGAAAACAGATGGCGGTTGAACAGCTTCATCAATATTATTATTTACGGTCAAAGAGTAACACGAAAATTCCACACTACGAAAAGAACTAGGATGCTCCTGCATACCTTTCGGTTGGAAGTCAGGACAGAGGGTAGCGACACCAACGGCTAATAGAGAGGCTGAGCACTTGAAGGTCACTTATTCTCATTGTGATTGGTAGAATTTCATTTGCGCAAACGTTGCGGCTAATACAGTTGACAGTTTACAGTTTACAATTTATTTAGGATAGTAGGCTATATGCCTGTGTTAATCCTTTCGATTTGTTGTACACAGGAGGTCCAATCTCGCCTTGAATGAATCAACGGATGGCGCTGATACGACGTGTTCCGGTAGGGAGTTCCAATGGTTCACAATTCGATGCGAAAAACGGATCTCCAGACGCAGACGACTCGACCGTGGTTTTTGAACCTTGAGGTGATGTCCTCGCAATTGGTTGTTGCTAGAAGGAAGAAATGAATTAGATAAATTAGCTCCAAAATCATTTTTTAGGATACGGTATGCTAGTATTAGGTCACCCCTAAGTAGTCTGTATGACAGTGGAAATAAACCCAGTCAACTTAACCTCTCCTCATATGAGAGGGTTGAGAAACCCTTTATTATCTTAGTTCCTACTCTTTGCAACTTTTCCAATAAGTCTATTTCGTATTTGAAGCACAAGCTCGCAGTGTACGTCACTGAGGCATGATTTGAAAGAGTAATAATAAAATAAGATAGACATTATATTTTTCAGCTTAAGGGAACAGGTCAATATATTTATAAATTTCACAGATGTGACAAGCATTGGATCCACTTACAAGAAGACTATTGCTGGGTAAATTAATCAAAGAAGTTGTAGCGGTAAATAATTCCCCAAAATTATTGACCACAGCAATCATCACTCAACATTGGATGCTGACCATCACTGTTTAAGTCGACTTGTTTAGCTGAAGGCTTCCGGTCGAGCATCCCCGCCATTTGGTGCTCCGTCATGTCACGTGCGTGCACGATTACTAGGTAGCTAAGCATTCACCTCTACCCACGGTTTTGTCCCGAAATATAATACGTACTTTGGACGACAAAATCTGGTCTTTTGCTTTACCATTTGGTACTCGAAGAACGAACACTATAGAAGTTGTTGGTATAAGATCTTGCGTTAGTATAATCCGTACAACTCGGGAACGTCCATACCTTCAGTCTCAAAAAAGTATAAATTTTGAAGATTTGATCTATTTCAGTTGGTTGTATCGGATGGAGAAGAAAGTAAATTGTATAATACATGCTTTTTACAGAAGAAAGAGTGTGATAGATGTTCTAGACGTGCTAAAATTCTTCAAATCTGTCTTGGTATATACGGATGACTGTGTAGAATGTCACCAACTCTGTGATTGTTCCCTCCCTTGATCACATATTCGGTGTGCCTAAGATAAGGAATTGTTCACCAGAGAAAAGGTCAATTCACCTGATATGTATACATCTTCAGATATTTCTCAATGTTGCCGAAGGCATTCGGAGGAATATGTAGTGACCCATTTTATCATTCATCATCGTAATATACTGTCACTATGTAAGTGAACTTTAATTCGTTTATCACTCTAAAAATCGCGCGTTAACAATTGACACATTGTACTCGCTCAACTTTTGAATTTTTATTATTGCGATAATACAGGTTCGTACTCTTTCTCGAGTGCCTTTTGAATTATGTTGTGGATGTCGAGTAATCACAACGTTAGGACACAATAATAAACGCGAAGAAGTTCTAGGATATATGCGTACGCTGGTTTGGTCAAATACAGCACCACAACGAATACAATCTCAATCTTTGTTTGAAATGGTCATATCCGGTTTCTCCGAAGGGACCTGGTGGTGATGGAAACTGAAAAGACTGACCCAACACCACTAACAACTAAGGCAAACTGATACAGCTGTTGTGGATGAAGTGATTAGTAGACTCTATGATGACTTTGACTCAGAGGATGACAGGAAACGTAGTAATACTTATGCGAAATGCGTTATTATCTCCTCAATGCGTTATCAGGCCTTGCGTAAAGTGTTTCACTTACGTTTAATCCAGTTGTGCATAATATTAGTATTCACTATTGTTAAGAAAATAGCCGCTGAACATGTGTTTGTACTGTATTAACGAAATATAACGTAGCAAACATAGGCTGTATACTTACACGACTTGTATTGCTTGCCTAAGTACTTCAAGTACACTATGAGACGTTTATCGTATTTATCTTAAGCAGTCTGTTATTCTTTTGTTGCGTTTAACACCACTATCTGAAGGGAAACCATTAGAAAACAAAGAGACAACTTCATTACTTCATTACGTTTCATATCAATAGGCGCTTACATGATCACATGAACACTTAGTTGACAATGTCTCTGAACTTCACTGATTATTTTGTTGTCATAAACTACGGCAACTTATTAGACAGGCTTCTGTTGTGCATGTCGCCTGTTTACGGTTTATTAGAGGAAGCAATTACTCAAAAGCAATAATAGTACCCCATAATACTCAGATTTAATCACTTCCAAATAATAATAATTCAAAATTCCAAAAAATCTCCTCTTCTCTGGATCCGATTGAAAAGATTGAGATGCAGTTGGCGGAAACACTGAAAAGACTGAAACAACAAGGCTTCATCTCACAGAGTCAGTACACGTCACTTAAACCCACCGGAACGTTCACACCAAGACTATATGGCTCGCTTAAAGTGCACAAAATGGTGTACAGCTATGACCAGTATTAGATAAGCTAAATTCACCATACCATCCGGTAGCCAAATGGTTAGTTGAACTCTTACAGCCCCTTCATACTGAATTGGTGAAACATAGTGTAAAGGATACATTTGGATTCGTTGAAAGGATAAGAGATTTAAATGTTCATAATAAATTCATGATATCATTTGACGTATCTTCTTTATTCACCAATGTACCTCTCATGGAAACAGTTGACTTTATGCGTGAAGAACTCAAAAGACGAAACATCGAGGTTGGCACTCCTATATCTTTCATGAAGGAACTTCTCTTGAAATGTACAATGAATGTCCACTTTTTATTTACTAAGGAACTGTATAGACAAATCGACGGGGTGGCAATGGGGTCGCCACTAGGACCCATTCTAGCCGACATTTTCCTGGCGAAACTAGAAAATGGGCCTTTGAAAGATGTTATTAATGAACTCGAATTTTATTGTGAGTACATGGATGATACTTTTTTGGTTATGAAGAACGAAAAGGAGGCAAAGGACATCCTGGATAAATTTAATGAGGTACATCCTGCAATAAAATTTACTATTGAGAAAGAAAAAGACTCTAGTATTTCATTTCTAGACGTCCCTATGACCAGAAAGGAGAATGGCACAATAAGAAGAAGTGTTTATAGGAAACCTACATCAACGGGCCAGTACACACATTTTCTCAGCTTTGTGCCCTTGAAATACAAACGCAATCTAATAAAGTGCTTGGTCCACAGAGCAAGAGAGATTTGCTCGGATGAATGTCTTGACGAGGAGCTTAACAATAATAAACGGTTGCTAAGTGAGAATGGTTATCCCGAAAAGTTTATTGATAAGAATATGAATCTAAAGCCAAAACAGTCCAAGTTACCAACAGTTCCAAAGAAGGCCTTGTTCTTACAGATGCAGTTCCTAGGAGGCAACACAAGTGCGATACTTACACATCGCCTCAGAAATGCGGTACAAAGAGCATTCACTGCTGCTCAGTTACGCTGTATCTTCAAAACCATTCCTCTTCTGCGTTCGGAAATAAAAGACAAACTGCCTAATATCGCCTCTTCCATGTGTATATACCAATTTAACTGCTCCTGTGGAGCCAGTTACATAGGCCGTACAATTGGGCCTGTTTCCCGTCGAATTTCCGAACATCACCCTGCCTGGTTAAGCAAAGGTCGAACAAAATCTATTCGCAGCGCTATTCTGGCGCATCTTGTGGATACAGAACACAAGATTGACGTTAATCATGCTTTCAGGGTCATTTACCGCATACCTACGAATCTCAATTTCGCTTTAAGAGTTCGACTTCTAAATATTGCTGAGGCTGTGGGGATTCATATTAATAAGCCTAATTTATGCACCCAAAAGAAGTTAGTCCAGTCATTATCATTACCTTGGCCATCCAGGTTTGAATAATCCAGAATTTTTGTGAAATTTCCCTAATTTTAGTTGATATTCTATTCGCTGTTATATCTTTATTATTATTATTTAAGCATCTTTAGTGAATTGTAATAGTATTGATCATACTTTACAAATCGATATTATTTAAAAAACACTAATATTGTTATTAACTACTAATTTAAAATATTCTATGTATAAAAACATATATATAATTGTAGAGCCTGAAAGAGGAATTTGTCGAAAAGAATATTCTTTGCTCGATTATTTTGTGTTTTATAGGTGTGTAAGAGTTGGACTTGGGATTTACTTCGACCTAACAATAACCGCTCTTACAAAACTCCTTCACCGTTTATGACCTTAATTAGTACTCTGCCTACGTGCAAGTACTAAAAAACGGAATCAAAGTTAAAAGACTTGAAATGGTAAGTGTAACTGAACCGGAATTGTATTTACACAAAGAGATATGGAATTTGATAAGGAATAAAAAGTACACACTTATCTGGAGGTGAGACGGGGGTCAGCTCGAAGAGTGTACTAGGTGAAAGTACAGCGATAGAGCGAAACCGAAACCGTACAGGAGGATCAGGAATACAAAGTAGAAGTGGGGTTAAAGGTCAGGTTGCGTTCATTCAAACAAAAGTTCAAAGGTACAATGTACACTACAGGTGTCTGAATGAATATTTTTGCAATATTGAAACTTCCAGATATGACATTCTACAAATATTACGCCTTCTACACTGGCATCACTTTTCATCTCGATAAACAGTAAGTATTAATGAGGTATGAACGGAGTGGGACTTTTTAAAAATATTTATGTCAATAAATACACTCATAATATCACTAATATTTCATGATTTACAAGCACATTATCCGTTTTAATCCCATGAGAATGTGTAAATATACTGAGTGACTGCGGAAGTGAAGACCATAATCTGGAAATTAAAAATGACAAAATATCAGTCAGAAAATGATAAGTTAAATAAAAATGTTAAAACGCAGTGCCCACCAATTAAATGAATGCCACTTC